GCTTGATTTTGATTGAACCGCGGTTTTTCCTCGCATCAATCGCGCTGCATAGGTTTCTTTTTTTCACTTTCAAGAAAATTAAATTTCTACTACTTCGATATATTTGGTCCTCTCTGTCAGCACACTTTTCTATCGTTATTCGTTTCCGCCTTCGTGCATCTTCAGATATCAATTACGTTATTGCTTCTGTTATTACATTTTATCATTCCGCAATTTCCCCCTAAGCTGAGAGTTTGTATATGTATTATCCATTTTCATTACTTCGTTATATGCGTGGCTACACACGCACAATAGCAATATCTATTAAAGTGGAATCAATTTGCCTGCTCGCCTAGTTTTATGTGTACACAGAGAAAAATGTATACATTCAAGTAAATATTATTTAAATATATCATAAGTTTGTATATCCGAAAATATGTCATAAGTTCACCACAAGCATTAAATTTAATTGAATATATTCTAAATAGTAAGTACAGTATTTTAATCAAAAATATTAAATTAAAACAAAAATTTGCTTTGCTTATTACATAAAGTTGGCGTAAAGTAGATTTGATTTTTCTTTGATACAACTTTACAATATTCTTGAAGAAAAAATAAATTCTTCTTTTGAGTACACGATGATGAAATTTTCTAACACTTGTGATGAGTCTATTTTAAGACTATTATCAAGAATATATTCTCTGTTGAAGAAAACTATTACTTATTGTTAAAAAAAGAAAAATAAACCGAGTAATCGCTTTTCTTGTAGAATGATATTTTTCTCTGTGTAATTGTGGCGCACAGTGAGCGAATTTTTTTGCAATAATACACTTCGTCGCACGAATATATTGCGAATAATGCAAATACATCGCCGTTCTTGCAGAAGTGACTTTACCAAATTGAATTGAAACTATCGCTTCGCGATACCGATATCCAAGGTCTCGAAATGTTTTCGCCATTGACCTACTTGCCTCAACGAAACCGATATAAACGAATCAAATGTAGCACGTAATCCGACGTGACCTGCCTTAGTAGGAAGACAAATATTTCTATAAATTTTACGCGAAATGTCGACATCATTTATTTATTTATTTATTTATTTAATGATTTTTCTCATGATTATTCCATTAATATTAATTAATGTGTGATAGTAATAATATAAAATTTTTAAGCCCGACATTTTAGTCGTAATGTCATGTGACAGAAAGACAGGCGGTCACACACGTTCGTGTGAAAATATACAATATAGCTCGACGACTCTTGGGAAATCATGGCATCCATTACTCACGACAGAGTGTTTCAAAAGAAAACAGAGAAACATTTTGTGGATCTGTCAACGGCCGTACAACGTATTCGCGCTGCACAATTTTTAATTTGAGAGATTCTTTTATCAATTTCTCTTCTCGACACGCGAATCTTTTCTTATCAAAAGATCATCTCTTTCTTTATATATTTAATATTGGACAGTAAACACAAGTTTCCCTGTAATAATATCTCGTTAAACAATAATAGTCGCCATCAAGTATAGCTGATTGACGACTTTACAGCGACTTTACTGTCGTCGTCTTATGTACGATCGCGTGCGTGGTATACGTCGGTTGACAACGCCAATGTAAACAGCCCTTAGTGGCCGTAACACCGTGGCAGAATGCCGGCCCTTCGACCGGTAACCTGCATTCTACGTGGTATGCTCGTTAACGACCCGTTGTCCGCGCGATAACTTTAAGGTTACTGCCAACACTTACATCTGAACATTTACGCCGTGAAACAACACTGCCACTGATTGCGAATGAAACAGCGAACGCGCGCTCGAGTTGGCGCGCGTAGAGAAAGAAAAGAAAATGTGGAGTAAATTTATTTCTCGCTCACTTTACCCGCGCGATAAGGGTGGAATTATTTCTACAAACTGCTCTCCGTTAATTACTCGCGTATATAGCTCGGCCGGGTAATCTAGATCCTGGCACCTGCCGGGCGAAATTGTGATAACGCCTAGTGTGAAATAACATTAACGCGGTACCATTATTATAGCGCCATTATGCCGCTGCTACACGATTAATATCAGATATTGTACGGTAAATCATGGTTGTAGGAGGAGAAAAAAAATGGGGGTTAAAAATATACTATTAACGTAATTTTAGCTCCATAAAAAAGTGTATTTTTATAATTCTCCGATGATACAATATTGTTATTCTCTCTCTCTCAAACGGACGAAATTGACGATATATCTGACGTAATGTTCGTGTTTGCGTAAGCTTTCGTATTTGTTTGTCTTTAGACACTTTCTCACAGCGCTTGGAGCGAAAACGAGATACGATATGACGGATGGAAGTCTCTAATATCCAGTAAAGTCAGCGTGCAAACTAAGACGGAGGTACGAACACGCGGACGGATTATGGACGGTTATGATGCGTGGTCCGCGTGCGCCCTTCCCCTCCGCCCACCCCTCGACGAGGTTTAGGCGCGTGCGAGCCGGATTTATGACCCCCATTATGACGTTGACGTATCGCCTTCGCGAGGGTGGCCTAAACCAAACCCAAGGCGAATCTAAGCCCCGTGTATCTAAGCCAACGGCTAGCCACAGGTCACCGCGACTGGTACGAGAATGCTTGGGACTAATCCTGCGGTTCGCCGTATATCTGCGATAGCTGTAACTAACGATGAGTTTCATCCCTTTAACATTTGACTCGCGTATAACGCTTTTTTTTATTTATCTTATTTATTTTTTTTATTTATCTTATCATACTCACTCGCTCTTTTAGAAAAGAATTCAATGATATTTTGCAGGAAAAAAAATATACGCCGAGTATAATACAAATATTTGATATCGAGGAAATCAAGGATGGAAGAGTCGTTTGAAAAAGCGCAGACATATCTTTTCGAGAAGAACATCGAATTAAAGGATCCCCCAAACTGCTCACCGAGCTGTACAAGCGACGCGCCACGAAAATTATTGGCATCTTCCGTTCCATAATAGTTGTCTAGCGCCGCAATAAAGCAATGAGGGGAGCAGAGGGTGGGGTGGATTTAAAGGGCGTGCGAACTCGCTTTTACGCGTCGGATGCGAAACCCCGATTCAATTTATATCCTGTGGCCGCGCACTTCCTGCTTGCGGCGCGCACATCTTTCAGGATTGCACCACTTCGTCCACTTCCGGAGGATTCCAACTCTCGTCTTCTCTCTCTCTCTCTCTCTTTCTTTCTTTCTCTTTCAATCTCTCTCTATGAAATACGACGATGATTCTATCGGCAGCGGGTGTCGCGACGATTTCTCGAAGGGAAACGTGTGGAAGGGTGACGCAAATAAATCGCGTTGCAAAATGGATCGGGCGACGTTATAGCGGTCGACGTCACGCATCGGCGAGTGTCAAAACACCGTGGAAGAGTCTGCAGCTCTTACTACGATGCATTAAAGGGAACCGAGTTAATGGACAAACGAGACCGGCCATTCTCCTCCGCCCTCCAAGGAATTGTCAAAATACACGGCGAAAGATAAATCGAATATATAATCGAGATCTCGAAGGGACAGCGGATTAAACAAATACGCATTCGTATTTTGTCGGTGTATCTCATTTTTTTTTGAACAATTCTCCGAGTGTTAAATTCAGCGAGATTCTATTTTTCAGCAATAGCATATATGTATATCTCTCATGTATCGAAGGTCGATTCTTTTTCCGCAGAACCGACGTCTCGAATACGGTCGGGGAATCGTACGGAGCTTTACATCGCAATGTATATGTAACTATAAGAGTCGAGAGATAAACGGCGGCGGTTATCTACCGAGGTTGAGAAAAGCAGAGAGAGAGAGAGAGAGAGAGAGAGAGAGAAAGAGACATAGAGAAAAAGAAACAGGAGGATAGGAAGAAATAGGTAAATTCTGATACGGACCCGCATCGGGAGAGGAGCGGAGTAAGAAAGATGGGACGAAAACATCGATTGCAGGGGCTTGTAACACCGCGGTACGAACAGAGGGATCAAGCCGAGCGATAAACCAAGCGGCCTGGAAAATGCCGGATCAACGGTACGATGTTTCAGCAAAAACTGTCTGGAATCGGAACAGCCCCGGCTCAGAGGGGGAGGTGGGGGAGGCAAGAGTAGCTCGCCAGAGAACCGCGGAGCTCTTCTCGTGGTTTCTGCCTACGATCTCTGCCTCCCTTTCTTCCTCGGCGAACGCTTACCATATATATACACACACATACACACGCACATGTATACACATATACGTGAGTACATACATATTAAGGGTACAATCGTGTATGAATTTTGCGTTATGCCATCGTTCCGCACACGAGTCCCGACGGATTTATGAGAAAAGTAATATGAATTAAACTAATGCTTCTCTCTCTCTTTCTCTTTCTCTCTCTCTGCGCTCTGGCTATGCGTCGAGCTGTAAAAAAAAGGACCCTCGCCTCTGAAATTCAATTGAGAATAATTCACCGTAATAAAATATAACGAAGCTTCGCGAAACAGTTTGCATTGTTGTTGAAATAAAATCGACATTAATTAATTATCCACGATAATATATAATATTAATTAAATTCTATATTCAACAAAAGATAAGTTCAATGATTCGATCTAAGGACGAACACTTTATATACTGGTGTAAGAATAAACTGTTCAAGTATAGCATTTTCGAAAAAAAAAAACATCTCTTTTAAAAATATTTCTATCCAATCATATATCGCTGGGAAAAAATGCAATGTATAAATAATAATTATCAAAGTAGCGAGAGAAGTAAAAATGAGAGATGGACATCTATAAAAAAGTACGTAAAACTTGTATATAAGAATTAAGAAAATTATCATTCTGTAGATAACTTATCGGACAATGGTTAATGCATGTAAGACTTTATTTAAGTATTTAATATATTTATTTTAATGTCCATGTAATATAAATAATTTAATAGAATATATCGAATTAAGATGGATTGTTTATTTTTCAATTTTGATTAAACTCTCTTTATCAACCGATACAAAATACAGTAGAAGTTATCGTATACCGTTGAGAGATGGCAACTAGAACAGTTAGAGAACGGCAAGCTAAAAATTACCGATCAGCGTAACAACTAAATGCTACGAGTTACACGACTATAAGCGTGAGAAACGTCAAAAGAGCCGTGCCTCTTATTAGTTTAGTTGTGCAGTGAGATTTTTGGTTCGATTATGTAGTGCGTCAAATATGAAGACGATAGAGGGCAAAGTAGTATTGCTGGGATCGCAGGGTAAGTGATGATCGTAATAAAACGCGCGGCCATAAAATTTGCCTGACGTTATATAATAGGAATAAATTTTTTTTACCCAAAGGCGCAATTCGCATAAATTTACAGACGCGATCACGCATCTCAAAGATTAGTCATTGTGTATTGTTCCCGATTTATCCTTTGTTATGTCATGGAGGTTAGGTGAACAAGCCCAGTTTGAATCTGCTGCTTATTTACATTCATTACGAAATTAGATATTGCAACATCTGATATAATTGCTTGATTATGTTGTGCGAATGAAATGAATTCACTTAAAATCTCTGATGAAATACAAGATTTTTTTCCCACTTTGTGACCCTGAACCAATAAGAATTTATTGTCGTTGCGTGAACATGTCAATGTATATATGCATATATGATTGTTCAATTGGAGAGATTTATTGATAATTATTGATTATAAAAACGTCAAATATTTCGACCACTTGAAGCGATATTCGATAAATTATTTAGTGAATTTACAGTCATTGTCTTTATCGTTGTAGAAACAATACGTATTGATGATATAAATAATTTGTATCGACAAATGCTTTTGTTATTGATAGCTATTGTTGATCTTTATCGAGATATCAAAGAACTTGTTCGTTCTTTTTAAAAATTAAATCGTAAAAAAGACCGATATTTTTTTACATTTTGCATCAGATATTTGACGCGAGTGACATAATGTTTATTTATATTACAATACATACACTCTCGGATGGATCAAAATCCGCGTATGACACAATTTCCGGCAAAGCGCATTGATAATATGTAAGGCATATACTTTAGGGAATCCCGTAATCAGCCTTTTACATATCTTTTTTTAGCGCAATCGCATTTTTTATACATACGATATTTAATCAAAAACAAAAATACCGATAGCAGCGATGAATGAAAATAAAAAATAATTGCGAAATTATAATTTCTCATGAAAAATTATCTATATAATAATTTTTTTCTCCTCAAAGTTTTTTTTATTAGTTGTAAGAAAGAAATAAAAAATGTTAAATACGAAATTATATGTATTTAGAATTATATAATCTCTCGCTCTCTTTCGTGTAATTAAATAAAATAGGAAAATTATGAAAAATAATTTAAAGTGGAAATGCAATTAATGCCGATAAAAATAATCCAAGCGCATTTTATCAAGATAAAAAATTGAGAATTGCAAAGAAGATAGCGAATTGTATACATATATACTGACAGAGAAATTATTTCAATTTTAAAATGTCAATTATATAACGGCTATTGCTCTCTATTATATAATAAAAATATATGAATGCTATTTTCATACATATACAAGGTATTTCAGGAATAAAAATTTTAAGAGATGAATATGAAAAAAGTTCATATAAATTTATGTCCGATTCTGAATGTCACATTTGCATATTCAATACGTATGTATAGTATCTTAATAATCCTTCAAGCAGCTTATACAAAGTACAATAGTCAAACATCGATTATTTATAGAACGAAGAATAGAATACACACCATATAGCTTATCTCGGAAATTAGAAGCGAATACATGATCTTTTTTCCTCATAATAACCGATACACTATCTTATCTTTCAAAATATTGACCTTTTTACAACAATGATATATATTGTAATAAAATGTACCGTTGTATTTTATTACAATTACTGCGACATAGCTATATCATTTTAACATAGTTTTATTTTGTCATTAATTAAAAATGAATCTCCTTATCTGATAGCACGTGATTTTAAATTACTATGCAAGAATCGAATCTTTATACAATTTTATGTAGATACATGAAGATTCGCATAATCAATTATATGTACTTTTACATTTAATTATTTCTTTTTTTTATTAAATCATTACAATAATAACTATAAAGATAATAAAAATAATTTAATAAAAAATTATAATTAAATGTGAAACTAATATATACAACTAATTAATTATGCGATGTTCTATCTTGTTTTAAAATAATTTTCTTGTACAGTAGCTAATCACATGCTATCAGAGAAGGAGATTGATTTTTTTTAAATATTTATAGAACGAAAGTTCGATATATGTATGTCACATTAAATGATAGCTAATATTGATCACCAATATTGAATTATATATGCAAGTGTTATTGGTCTATAAATCGCTATATTTTCAGGTGTTGGCAAAACAAGTTTAATCGGACGTTACATAGGAAACTTTGATAACGTAAGTCCGACGATAGGAGCATCTTTCTTCAACTGCAAACTCAACTTAGGGGATATGAAGATAAAATTACATGTATGAAATTGTGAACAAATACTTGTTGAGTTTTATTATTAATATTTAATAATTAATAGAAAAATTTAGTATATCGAATTAATAGTCATGAAATTCCATCAATTGTTGTCTTTTCAATTAATCTCTGACCTTTCTATTCTTCGCTTCGACTATCTTTGTATCATTATCGTGCCTTCCATAATACAATCCGAAAATTCACGCTTTATCCAATTGACTGTTTATAAAATCATTCGAATCGCTCTAAAAAATTGAAAGCGTTTCTTCTGAAGAATTGAAAGACTTCCTTTTACAGGTATGGGACACGGCTGGCCAGGAAAGATTCCGTTCTATGGCGCCGATGTACTACAGAAACGCCAACGCGGCCATGCTGGTGTTCGACCTTACACAGTACAACAGCTTCGCCGCGATCAAGGGTTGGGTAAAGGAGCTGCAGCAGAACGTGGAGGACACGATGGTGCTGGCCGTGATCGGCAACAAGTCCGATCTGCATCAGCGTCAAGTCGACGGTGAGGAGGGTCAAAAGTACGCCACGTCGATTGGTGCTACGTATCATGAGATCTCAGTGTTACATAACGAGGGAGTGGAAACCGTTTTCCTGGCCATTGCTAAGGGTCTGCTGAGAATGGTATCGGACAATACAGACATTACCTCTGTCAAGATTTTCGACTCGAGTAGTTTTTTTAACGGCGATGGCATGCCGCTCTTGCCCTCCGTCGAGGAGAGCCCGCAAAACACCAGTATTGCGCACGGCATACTCGAGAAGCCGTTCACCTGCTGCTAAATTCTAGCTCAAGAGCGACAATAGTAGTTATAAAAAAAGATTGTAAGCCTTGCCGAGACGCGCTCGCGTTAACGCATAATGATTATGTGCTGCGACGACGACCAAAGAATTTTTAAATGTTACTCGCCGATAGTTTTTTTTTTTCCTTTTGACAATATTAATTACGTTGACGAGTCACATAAAAATTTTTTTAAAAAAGTAAAGGAAGTTTGACGATGCGTCTCCATTTTTTGAAATGCAAGATGCACGCGCAAGGTAATCGACAATCTGCTCTTCCACGTAGTTTCCGTCCTAGCTCGATTAGATCACAATAATGCTTGTGTCGATTTATCGCGGGCGTTAAGTCAATAATATCAAAATACTATCAAATAAGATTGTAACGCTAAAGCAAAGGAAATTAAATAATTTAATTTTTCTATAAAATGAGTACCAGGAGAGACAAAATATGATACATATCTTGTTATGTAGTGAATTTATATGTAAACGAGATTTCGTAGAAATTTAACGCGGTACGTTAATTCGTGTCAAAGTGATTAGGGTCGTGATGAGTTATAAGCCAGGAAATGTACACAATGCTATAAGCTCAACTAATATAATTATAATTATTATAATTTTCGCAAGCTCTATGCAATCTTTTGATTAGATAAATTTTGATGTGTATCAATTTTTTTTCATAAAATATCGAATTACGTAAAAGATTATGCAAAATTGATTAACGCAAAATATGATCGAAATACGTAAAAGATTATGCAAAATTGATTAACGCATGACGATTGTGTAATTTGTCATTAGAAAACTTTAATTTTAGCAAATTACAGCTAATTATTATTATGATTAATATTATTTTGATTATATTACTATATTTACTAATTTTATGCTAAAATTAACAGTATTCTGCATCTATGTGCAAATTTATTTATAATCGGAATAAAGATTAGATGTATTATGTTTTTCTTTCTACGAAGACTGCTAAATTTTAAGTTTAAATATTTTTCTTTTTTCTATGCAAAGAGACGACGAATTATTTTCGATACTTTTAAGAAAACTCTCAATACTTTGTCATTTTTATTTTCGCACGCATTGTGATATGCACGTTCACGCGCCTCGTCATATACTTTATCAAGTTTTTATATTCGATGAAGATAAATATGTTTGTAATAAAAAAAACGTGCAACGTATTTAAATATCTATCTTTCATACTCCTATTTGTGCGTATACAGATTTTATGACATTTTATTACAGATTATATTTATTTAAAAAAGTATTCATCAATAAACAATAATAATTATTATTATTATAAAATTAGTACGAAATATATAAAATATATATTTTATAAAAGAATAATAATAATAATTATTATTATTAATACTAAATGCATAAAAATAAAAATCACACTTATATATCGTAATGTCCTACATAGTCGAGATGGGATGGCGTTTGTTCGAGATCCGAAAAGCTGCACCTCCTCGGGAAATCTCGTCGCGCTACGACAGAGAGCGATAATCACACAATGACTCATTCTCACTCCAGGCCGGGCCTCGCGGAGCGTGACGTCCCAGCTTTGTCTACATGTAACTCGGCTTATTTTTGTTATGTAAGTTCTCGTTTACTATGCATCTAGGCCCATTAGAACTCCGCGGCGGCGTCTTCGAAACCGATGCGTAGTGGAAAGATGCGCTCAGGGTCGTCCGCGTGTGCGAGAGTCAAGGAACTTGGAAACTCGCGTTTTCTCACTAGCATAATTCGAACTCCGCGACATAAAAGAGAGAAAAGGACTCCAAGTTCATGCAACGCGAAGAATGATCAGAAAATCATTCGCCGATATAAAGAATTTAAAAAATATAATACAGAAGTTGCGTCTAAAAATAGTCAAAGTATTATTTAAGATAAAGAGATACTTTATCACGCCATTATGCGAATAGCAATTATCGAATAAGTTCGTTTAATCAATTACTCGATATCTTCTTGATCAGTTACAGATGCATACGTATCCAGCTAAATCCGGACTTGATTCCAGAACCGGAAAGATTCAAAGATGCGAGAACCGTTAGACTATAATAGCCAATCTGTTGGTTCCTGAATATAATCGTGAGATAGATGCAATGTCGAAGATGTAATTACACGAGCGAGTAAAAGCGTTCGGGCGATTAACTGAAATCAAAACGGCACTTTTGTTCCTCAATAGCGGGAGGATCGATTAGCATAACGAAGTTGCGAGCATAATGAAGTTTTATTACCGTTTAAAGACAATAGGCCGTAAAGCGGTATCCGACGATTGGCCAATTGCAATTTTCATTGCAAAACTACATCTCGATCGTTTAACACGGAGGAAACTGGCGCGTTGAGATTTTACACGCCCTTTTCGACACGCTCGCGACGCTAGAAAATTATTTTCCAGGTCCTTGACATGCGTGCGCGCGAGACAACTTGTATTTCGCGCTTTGGCAAACAGGAAGAATTTCATCTCGTCGTGTCGTTGCAACAACTTGCATTTTCACTTTCTTCTTTTTAACGATCGCGCTTTTTCGAATGGGACAATCGGAGCTTTTTTTTCCTAAACTAAATGAGATATTTTTAAAAATAAAATTAGCCATTAATTATATAAAATCAATAAGCACGGTAAATTTGTCTTTTTGTGTTAAAAATGATTTTATGTGGTAATTCATAAATTTTTGAACATTTTACATTTTCTGTTAAATATTTAAAATGAAAAAAATAATAATAAATAATAATAAATGAAAAAAATAATAATAAATCCTCGTGTTAGCTACTAGATAGGTATACAAATTAACAGCTGTTTTTTTTCACTATTGGCAATGATGCTTGCAAATCCCCTGATGAGAATAATGAGACATTGCAACAAGTTTTTCTTGTTTCAATTATATTCGTACATACGATATCGTGGATGATCTACGCAAGCGCGCACGAGGAGGGTATACAATTCAGTTTCGCAATATTACGAGCATCACGATCTGCTCCGTTCGTCGGTGTGTTAATTAAATGCAGGCGCGAAACTGCAAAGCGAGGGAAAAAAAGAGGAGAGAGATTCGCGTGCGCGCTGATCCTGTGAGCGAGCACGAGCTCCTTTGAGCGTGCAAGCGTCACACGAAGGAGCGAGTAGGAGAAGAGGACGAGGAAGAAGAGCGGCAGCAGGTACACAAGCGGAGGAAGCAGAAGAAGCGATCATAACTCCGGGCTCTTCTGTATAAGACAATGATACAGTTACACGATGCTCTCAGTTGTGGGCCAATCGTAAGAGGTACGGTTCAAAGAGACTCATACGTGAAAGTGTAATGAACCGCGACAAGGATACGCTAATTACATGTCCGGTCCGATGTAATTAAATAGATAAACGCTAATTAACATCGCCGGAAGCGACCGCCAAATGACAGGGTCGCTCGCAAATCGGCGCAATCGATCAAGATAATGAATGAATGTCTGACAGTGATAAAACAGAAGCATTTTTCCTGTGTAATAGATTTTTATGCGATGATGTGTGCATCGAGTTTTCACGATTTATCTTGAAATACAATGTATTACGCGGAAAGAATTGTTGACGGTTACGTTCACAATTGCTAATCGTGTGTGTCTATCTTCGGTTAAAAGGATACTTCTTTCAGGGACGTTTCGTGTGAGTGAATCGTAATTCATAGATTGTGGATAAAGTGAGATGTCAGACAACGGTTAAGAAGTAATAAAGCATTTTAATTAAGAAAGGAGAATAAGTCAAGATTAATTGAAACATAAATATTGCCAACCAAGAGTAAAGATGATCGTGTCACAACAACACGCGCGAGAATAGTGAGAACAACTTTTATTCAAAACTAAAAGCACAGTGGAAGCAGGAAATTGTACAATATAGGCATCATGTGAAGTAAAATGAAGTGAATATTCTTGGAGCACGAAAACTTTCTGTCAGCAATGGAATATTATCAACGGGGATTCCTCGTTTTCATCATTTGTTTCCTACGATCCTCTCAAGTATCGCACTCCAGCGGCCTCGCTATCGATAATCAACTTGTAATCATCGCAAATGGTGAGCGACAACGATTTATCGCCACAGTATATTGAATACGATAATTAAACATTATGATTATTATGCAGATTGCTATACACGAGTAGCTATCGGATTTAAATTGCCGGACATGGACATCTTCTCCAGCGTCGCGGTTGGCAGCATTTCGGAATGCGAGGACGAGTGTTCCAAGAGAAGGAATTCCTGTAACGCGTTTACTTTCGGGTACACGATAATATGCGAACCGCATAAATGCAGAGAATAATTATATAATTTCAATATATAAGAAGAATTAAATAAAAAATAATTAAATAAAAAAATAATTAAAGATAATAAAAAAGAATTAAATAAAAAAATATAATAAAAATAGAATTATATATATTAATAATATATTATATTAATAATATATATATATATATATATATATATATATTAATAATAATAAAAAAAATAAAATTATATTTATAAATAATCTATAACATATTAATATAATTCTTTGACAATATTTTCCTGTTTTGATATGTAGGATTAGTATCAAGGGTAACGGGACATGTGCGCTGAGTAGAAAAATGCCGAAGCCCGAAGAACTGCAAACTCACGCCGATTACGATGTCTACGTGAGAAGTCAACGTTCGTTACATTGCGAACCTGATCGACTTTACAAGATGAGAAGCGGCGGCATCGGAGAAAGGGGAAACGAGACAAAGTCGACCGTGATATTTGGAAGTGGCCTTTCGGATCCGACAATATCAAGTATCCTGTCATCTTCAAGGTATGATTCTCTCCTCTCTCTCTTTTTCTCATTATTAATTTCAAACCGTAAAACAATCCCATCATTAGCATTTCTATTGTTTGCTAATATCTCAGTAAAATAAATATATCTACGAAAATAATGGAAATGTTTATATTCTACCGAAAAGTATGCTTTTCTTACATATTAATGAGAAGTTTCAATTTACGTATTCATATGTTCTTTTAGCATACATGTCAAAATATACATGTCATTTTAAATGAATAGCTTGATCGAGTATCAATTTAGCTTTTCAAATTTTCTTTCGATTTTTATTCGTGTTAAATAAGCTATAGAATTTAATGCAATTACTACGATACGATTTTATGTGACTCACACGTGAAGAAACATGGGAAACACGATGCACGTTGTTAATCCTTCGTACCAGCAAGGATACGTGAATTCCTTGGACGATGAGCGCCGGATCTCCGATATCCTTAGAAACAGAAATTCAATATCGCCAGCCAGCAGTCCTTTCGGAATCAACAACGTAGAAGTCGTTAATGATCTCTCGATATATCCCAACCGGAAATCGGTGTTCGATCAACAAATATATTCCGACCCGAATTACGATCTCGGTCGACCGTTCACTCGAAATCCTTTTGACGATATCAACTACCTAAATTTCGAATCAAACTCGGGCAACGATCATCGGTTATATAAACCTCTCACTGTCCATAACGGGTTCTTCGATATTCTTTCGAGGCCCATCTTCGCCCACGAAACATCGAAGAACAAGTCTCCAGCAGATTTCAAATTCTGGATCGATCCGACGAAAGATCGAAACATATTTACGAGTCATCATCAACATCACAATCAAGGATATTTCAATAATATGCATAGGAATCACGGGATTATGATGCGACCGAAGCAGAACGAGTTAGTCACAGGAAGTTATGATATCAATAAAATGTCTCCAACTGTCGCTAATAATTTCGAGACGGATGGGACAAGAATTTCAACTGGAAGATTCAAGGGCACTTATGATATCCGGAATCAAGGATCGTGGATATTTCGTGGTTTTGATGCGAGGATCGCCGACAAATGTAAGTAATCATCTATTTTTTTTATCAAGATAAAGAGATTTTTCTGCCGCGTTTCTCTTCCTTTTACGAATGCCATTCGAATTAATCTGCGCGTGTAAGCGATGTGGTAAACTTTAGGTGCAATTCTAGCACCTGGGCAAACGGAAACGCGAATCTCCGTCTTTAACGAGGCGTGTACGAAAGAGCGGAGGCACAAATCTTCGGCCGGTTGTCGCTGCGCTTACTTCGCGTATGATGCATATGTGAGGCGCAACCTCATTTTTTTCTACGGCAATCATACGATTGCATTAAATGTGCTAGTACCGTGTTCCGCAAGTTGATTATTATTCTCTTACGTAAAGCATTGGCATTAAAAGGTACGACATTCGTTATTGCATTAATTTTCTCTTTAGACATAGATAAATAATTGCTGTACTTAAGTTTTCGCACCTTAAGTTGGAAATGTAACTCAATTTGATGCTAGCACAATCAATTTATCTTAGCTTTAATAATTTTTATATAATAATTTTGAAATATTAGATATGTATTTTATTTATATAATGATTTTTTTTTTGAGATATTAGATATGTATTTTCGATAAATTGATGACATAATTCAACAAAAAATAATTTTTTTCCGAACACAAGAACAAGAGTAATCCTTGTCTGTTGTATATTTTTGACGATGCTAAACTGTTTTTAATTTAAAAAAATACTAACAAAATAATCACATATTCAATAAATATTAATTTAATATTTAATATTTTGAATAAAACATTTTTGAATAAACATTTAATATTTTGATTGAAATTAAACTTCCTTAATATACACATTCCGCAATTAATAATATAACAAAATATTAAAATTTCTAGCAATTTTTTTTAATTATGTGATGAAGCAAAATTTGAAATCATATAGCATCAAAAAAGTTACGAAAAATAACTAGTCTCATTCTGTCTTTTTTTTTTAATCATGTAATATGCCTTATTTTATTGAAATCAAAGATAAGAATGACAAAATTCGACGAATACTGTGAATTGAATGTTAAGTTCGTTATCCTGCGACATCAATCGGCTTAATTACTTGGTCATCGCAGTCAGTCGGCACTGTTTATCGAACTACGTTCATCTACAAACTGCCGATTGACAAATGCGAACGGCATTGACACAGATTTTAAACTGTATGCGAATTAACTCGTTGCGTCCGTTGACTTCCGGCGTTAGCTACCGCTCTCAGCTTATCGCATAGCTTTCGCATATCTTTCTAACTACAACGTGACCGAATAACCGCGATCCTCTTCGCGGATTATTAGATAATAAAATAATGGAAATTGAATACATATTTTTTAAAGAAACAATGATGAAAAGAAAAATATGTCTAACGATCAACTATTTTTTTTCTTGGGCAAAGATTGTTGCTTCAACAATGACTAGCTAAAGGAAACTCAATGACTTTTCGCGATTGTGCCACCACGGAACAGAAATGACAATTGCACAAGAAAGAAAAATGTCGAGACGTTGCAGGACGTCTGACGTCCGGTTCGCGTGATCTACGAGCATAAGACGCTTTTACTTTCGACAGTCCCTTTTATTCCTGCCTGCGCTTCAAATTAATTGCGCGTCCGTTACTTTGATCAGGAATTGTCGCAATCGACTGGACATGCCGCCGATTCCGACACTATTTATAAAATTTGATTTTTAAATTAGTTTTCAAATTATCTCAAAGTTCGATACAACGGTCATATGAGGTCACAATTATATTTAGCTGACTGAATCGCGGAAGTATACGGCTTTACTGAAGTTATAGTACCACATTAAGAGCTAGGCTGGCTGAAATAATTGAGATAATTGTGACCCTGACGAATCTCGAAGGACAACACATCCCTTCTAAAATGATGTCACCTCTCTTTGTTTCTTGGGATAAAAGTTTAAAGACAGAAAAATGCAAATGGTTCCGGCACTTGGTTTCCAAACAGAGATCTTACAATAGAGCGCGCGAACAAATAATAATTTCTTATATATTATATCTTGCTTGATAATAGATATGCAAAAAGATAAAAAATTATATAAAATACATTGAACGACTTGAAAATAAAATATATGTGTGTATGACAATTTCTTTAGATTATAATCGATTAAGTATTAATTAAATCAAGGAATAATAACGATAATGTGAACGAAAAGTAAGTTAAGCATCGTTATAAAGGTATATACACTTACAAAGTCAGTGTTTTAATTAGAGATTTACATCCTGCAATTACTAAAAAGCGACGTCGAGTAAATCAATCCCACATAATCGTACGCAAAGTACCGCAAATGATGCCGCTCAACGAAAGAATGAAACGCTCGCGTGTCCATGAGCAAAGAAAAATAATAGTAAGTGGAATCATTAATGATCATGTAACGCGCTGAAATCCCTCCCCCGACGTGTGAGCACGGTTCCTCCCACTATCCTCGCGGAAACGTTCACTTTTCTATAAAACGATGCGAACCCGTAATTTCTCCGTTACTTTTTGCGCGATTTTCAGTTTGCGCCAATTTTTCGTGGACGTGCCAACGAAATCGGGGGGGGGCACGAATTCGGAAACGGAAAGCTAAATTCAAAGGAGAAGAACATTTTCTCGGGAGATAACAAAATGGCTCCGCTTTGTCGCGACTCGTGGTACATCACCGAAATAAATCGCGGCTCGAAGGAGAACTCGAAACGCTGAGAAAAAAACATCGCGTCGCCTCTCTCGCGATCACGAATGGAACATCCATTCCGGCGATCGAACGCGAATAGAATCATGTCGATACGACGATGGTTGTGGACTTTTGTGCTAGTCGTAATCGTTCGACGAGCTACTTCAGACTCGATCATTATAGTGGAGGATGAGTGCTCGCGTAAGTCTCTCTAAAAAAAAAAATTATGCCCGTAGAAAGTGCACTGAAATTTTCTTTTACTATACAGCATGCTACAGAAGACTGCTGGCCGGCAAGAAGAGCTTGGAACTGCATGTCAGACGCGCCGTCGAGTGCGAAAACATCGAAGATTGCCATCGCGCCTGCGACTATGAGAAATTTTTCATTTGCGAGGGTTTTAATTACAGGTAATTTTTTAAATTAATATTTTTATAAGAATTTACAAAATTAATTTCTATAATTCGTGTCATAATTATGATTTTCTATTGTATACATATTTTTTGTTACGTGTTGAAAAGAAATCAGACATTTCAATGTGAAATTATGTAATTTTCCGGAGAATGACATAGTTATATTCTCTTGGTAGAATTCCGCCGATGAATTTTGATTTTCTATGATTTTTAATTAGATATCTCAGTAAATACTGTAAGATAAGCGAAAATAATCTGTATAACAGTTAACAACAATTATTCACGCTTGGAATCTTCCAATGATTTTACATTATTTTTATATATGTGCGTATACATATATATATGTAGAGTATTTGTCATCAAATGCACACGCAAAATACAATGCGTACATATGCATGACCCATCGTGCGATTGCATCACGGACAATTTGATCGCGCCACAATCTGTGACACGCTTCTCCGGTGAGGGGAACTATCACGCACGCGCATTGGGAAGGTTCTTTTTTTTCCAATTAACACACATCCAAAAAATCGTTAATCGATAATAATAAATGATTCTAATTAATGAATTTATTTACTGCTGAGTAATAACAATTTTGTGGAAAGACGCTTGGGACATGGGGCGAGAGGGATGTGCGAGATGACATCGGTGCCTTATTCTCGCATGGACTTTCATCGAGACTTCGTATCGGATCCTCAATGTGATTATTACGAGAGGGATCCGAATTGCGTGGCAAACGGGCCTGGAATAAGACCATCCTACTGGAATCAACCATCTAGACCTAGTCAATCCTACGGTCCACCTTACGGCTCTCCTCATGAAAGACCAGATACAAGGTACGCAATAATTGAAAATTTATCTGATATTAATGACAAAACTATCTTGTATAACTATTGCATCAAAATCGAATGATACAAGCATCTTTAATTTCTAAGAAATATAGAGATTGATTAAGATGTATGGAAATTTAAAAAATTATTGATAAACTTATTTATTGATAAATTTATTATTGATAAACTTATTTCCTGAAAAGACGCTAATTTACGAAGCAATTAAACAATTTGCATTCGTTTATTTAATTATTTATAATTATTTAATTATTTATAAGAATCGTTCACGTGTATTTTTTATATGTGTCCAAATAAAACTAATTCATTTTTAATCTAACAAGACCCTACGTCCCGGATCGACGCCCCGAGGAAGTACCGCGACCTATGGATTACGATCGACCGCCCTTAGAAGAAATTCCCCGACCGTTAGATTTCGATCGACGTCCATCAAACGAAATTCCGCGACCGTTAGATTTCGATCGACGTCCATCCAACGAAATTCCGCGACCATTCGATCACGGAGATCATCGGCGACCGCCGATCTACGGGCATCCTCCTCATCACGGACAATACGATGATACGTTTGATCGAAGAAATTATCTCAATAATCAAGGTCAGACTGGATATTCAGGACCAAGATCTGAAGATTCATTCCGCTATGGCGGTCGGTATCCATCTAGACGACCCGTTGACGACGATTTTTACAACAGAAACATACCATGGACGCGGTATCCGAAGTATCCGAATAGACGAATCGATCACGGATCCGCTCACGACATAGGTAATATTTCAAGCGTCTAGATATAAGTTTGAAGAGACTATCATTTTTTCGCAAAGAAAAACTATTGCATGTGTTCACATATATAACGTAGGTACAAACGAAATCGGACCGTACCTGCCGGACTATCCAAAGGATCCGAGTCGGGACTGGGGTACTTACGGCACCACATATGGCGGCTCTTATGGCTACGATACGAATTACGTGGGAAAGTTCGACGCGTCGAAGCATTATCCGAAACCGCCGCAGCCTAAACCGCCCCCGCCTCCACCCCCGCCACCACCACGCCCTTACGAGAACGACCACTTTTACGGAGATTTTTACAATTATGGCGGTGCGTTCGGATACGGTGATAATTACATTCCGGCCAATCAGGATCCGCTTTACGGCGGTACCGGAAAAACGGAAGAGTGCTCCGTCCGAGCCGGTGCGGGATTCAAACTTAGCAGAGGTGTCGTCCGAAAGACTTATCTGACGGCGAATTTAGATCAATGCGAAAGCCTGTGCCTTAACGAAAAGAGTTACATTTGCATGAGCTTCAGTTATAGGTAATTTTAATAATTTTAATAAAGAAAAGTCATATATAATTTAGAAAAGTCATATGTCTTATAGAATTATATGTATAAAATTTAATATTAATAAAATTTAATATATTATATTAACATATAATTAAACGTTATAATCAAATGTTATATATTAAAATTTAATATATAATATTTTATATATATATAAAATATGAAAATAAAATATACAAAAATATTTATATTAATTAATTTAATACTAATTACTAATGTTAATTGGACAGGTACAATGTAGCACCCACGGACCCAACGGACAATTGTCTTCTCAGCGACGTTTCGTATAAAGATCTGAATTTTTATATCGATATTGAACCGGACCGTGATTATGATATCTATGCCATGATCGCCAACTCGAGAACCTGCGGCACGAAAAGAGAACCGAGTCCGCATCCTCCGGATGGTATACATATATATACGATTTAATTGAGAAAGAATTTCACCTTATTGATTAATTTTTAATTCTAAATGCCACTTGATATGAAAATAATTCGTAATATGTATTTTTTTAAATTTCAATTTTAACTAGATTGACAAATAAAACTGACTTTTAGATAATGCAATTTATTGTCCCGAGCATTGCACTACTGCCCCGATTGCGTTACCATACATTATACGTTCCGCTTTGTGTTTCCGGTAACAACTAAAATTGACAGGCAAACTCTATAAATCGTCTGTCTCTCTCGCGTGTTTTATTCAATATGGGACTCGCGACAGTTATGAGGAGTTTGTTTTTTATGAAACTTTTCTAGAATGTTTTTGGAGAGTCAGAAGCGGATTCGGGATGCCGGCGGACGTCGTTAGAAAATCGACAACAGTCAATAATCTAGGGGAATGTCAAGCGGCGTGCATTTTAGCGCAAGACTTTACATGCAGGAGTTTTGCATTCAAGTAAGCTCAGTTCGTATTATTCGAATATAATTTTTCACGCAAAAATCGATAGCAACAAAGCTAAAAACAATCGAGTAATTTATTTGTATATTACAATGTGCCATTTCCTCTAATTTGTATTATTAAATATTTTAGGTATGAATTACAAGACCGATCCGATGTTCCAACTAATTGTTATCTAAGTGATTGGCCCTCGCAGGATATCAATCCTGCTCAAATGCCGGATATGGACAGCGCGGAATTGTACGAGAAGGGTAGTTTTGGCAGAGGCTGCGAACCGTATGCCGTGCCATTCTTTAATACGGAGCAATTCAGTAGCAAGCAATCTCCGCAAGGTACAGATGAAGGTATATTTTTTAACATTAAAATTAAATATATAAATATATAACTATGTTAAATTTTCATAAATAAACCTTTCGTAGTTTGTTACTTTGGATATACCAAGCCATGCAAATTGACACCTTACGCCGTGCTTCTGGCAACGCATGTAAATTCGGAGCAAGATTGTCGACAGAAATGCTCGAGAATGAGGGAAACTAATTCTATTCCTTGCATGTCTTATAGTTTCAAGTGAGTATATATTAAAGCTTTCGCATTGTTTGCAATTTGTATTGCTTTTAATTTAATCGATTAATGTGTCTAAAATGCAAATATAATTATTATATGTAATTAACATTTATAATAATATTAAAATTGAACCGTGATTAAATAAAATCAATAGACGATATTTTTTTATAATAAAGAATCTCTTTCTCTTTCTCTCGAGATATGAATAATTATTAATATAAAATATGAATAATGTCAATTAACTTTAATTTTTATCAATGTACGTTAATTTCCTTCAATTTCCAGACTCACTACGCACGGCACAGAAGAGAATTGCTTGCTTAGTGATGTACCTATAAGAGACTTGCGACCAGGTCTGGATTACATCTACGACAACAATCACGTCCTGTACGCATGGAAAGATCTCGATCCTTATTGCGTGATTACGGGCGATTCCATCGATAACGATCATATGTTTGGCGGACAGGGTCATGCGAGACCGCAACTTCCAGGCCCTGCTCGACCCGATTTTAGCCAGGCCGGTTATCCAAGCGTGAAACCTGACGATATTTACCCAGATCCTAGACCTTACTTTAAACCAGGAAGTTATCATTACGGCACGAGGCCGGTCGATCCTGACAAGCCCGATTCTATCAGACCGCCCGATTCTAATCGTCCTGCCGTTGGATACGGTATTTATCCCGGTGGACTTGGCGGGTCTCTTTATCGTGAGTATAAACAACTAAAAATATTATAAATTTAAAATTATTAAACTTAAAAATTATTATTCACAAAATCATTACTTCATTAATTATTTTCTTCGAAATTAGCGAACGATTTTTCGACTTTCCGCCATTACACGGTAAACGGCTATCCGTGCAAGAAGGGTACGAAGTGCGAGAAGAACAAAATCGCCGGATTCTGGAGCTGCGAGCCGGAAGGAAGCGAGTACGGTAGTTGGGACTATTGTTGCGCACCGACTCATCATTGCGGCTTCTCACAAGGATACCAATATCCATGGTACATATTATTATAAATATGTATCATTCGCAAAACGTAACGCTTTTATTTTAATTCTTTTTTATTTAATTATTTTATTTTAATTTAATTAAAATTTACTTTAATTCATTTTTCCTTTATATCGCTCGAATCTCGCGTTCGCGAAAGTGGAGTATTTATTTCAAACGTATACGATAGATGGTGTACTTGTTCCTCCTTAACATGTCTTTACAAGTTATTTAATAATAATGATATTGAAACTCACAATTCCGCTATATTCCTTGCTTATGGTATATTCCTTGCTTACGGCAACTTCCCTGGTACCTCCTGCTCCAATATTTCTGTAAACAAGAAGAAAAAATATGTTACAAATCGATCAATTTTAGGTGCTACGTGGGATCATCGGAGGATCAATGGCGGCCTTGCAGCGAGAAATATTATCCCTACCTCCCAAGTCCGCGGCCGATCCGGCCCATGATCGGAAGTAACGATCGTCTCGATCATCACGATCGTCACGATCGTCCTGATTATCGATACGATCCCGGTTACAGCAGGCACTGGCCCATCACGTACTTGCACGGGGAATCGCCGCCGAATTGCACGGATTCACTCGCGTCCGCGGATAACAGCGAGGCTCGTCGTTCGAACGAGACCACCCCCGTCACGATCGTAACCAAAGGCGACAAGAACGATACCGCGATCGCGAACCGGGCGCGTCGACGACGGCTACGGGTGCGTACGATCGCCAACGATCGCCGTGCGATCTTCTCACGAAAAATTGGCCCGGATCGCGAAAAATCGGCCCGGATCGCGACGAACGAGGCCACGCAAAATCAAACTAATCGCGAGCGCGCCGCGAAAATTGAACGGGTTTCGAAACCGATGAGCACTGTCGCGTCGATCGCGGCGCCGATCGTCGCGCCGCCCGCGGCGGCGAACGCAAGTGACGGGGGCGCGCGATTCAAAGACACGAGGAGCAACGACGGGATGCTCCAATTGGCCCTAATCACGCCAAATAATTCACTGCCAGCTCCGGGGGCCTAATATTCGCGGCGAATATATTTATGTACGATCTCGCCATGAGATAAACGACTATAGAGATATACTTTAATTATATTAATGTCCAGATATTATTTGAAGATTGAACGAAATTGGTCGATAGATATTTCAAGATAAAATATATTGCGTGTTTATTTGAGGAAACTATATGAAATTTTTGTTTTATAATCTTGTAATAAGTTATGATTACGTTATATGTTTATGTTTTATAATCTTGTAATAAGTTATGATTACGTTAATTTTGTAAATACATAGATAGAGATTCTAAGATTAAACATGAAATTAATTTCCTAGTGTTATAATCGAAATTCGTATATTATTGTACTTAAATTGGAAGTGTCGCTATTTAAATCAATCAAGATATTACAATATATGATTGCGTTTAATTTTTAGTAGATAAAATTGATAAATATTAATACATTTTGAAGTTACGTAATATTTCGTAATATAGCGACCATTATCGAACTGCAATATATATTTCAATCGTGAAATTGCAGTATCTTAATAGCTCGTCATATCGCAATTTATTTATAATATCTCGTCATATCAATTTATTCACAACTGTAATCAACGTCATTACTTTAATATCTGAGTTAACCTAAATTAATTGCAAAAAGATATGATAAGATTAAATGAGATAAGGTTAATAAAAAATAAAAAAAATTATTGTGGCATTATTATTTATTGAATTTTCTGGAATTTTGAAAGAGATTAATATCAATTAACATTTTATTTAAATAAAATATCTGAATAAAATAATTATATAAATAAAATATATTTATATAATTATTAACACTTTATAAGTGCGATATAACAGAGTAGGAAAATAATCTGAATGACGGATATTATTAATTAACAATTTTAAAGTCTCGAGATTCGCAATAATTCATTCTATTTAAATTTAAATGTCAATATTCAATTTCATAACTCAATTTTTGTAATCTTAAAAACTTTTCTGGAATATAAAAAATATCGATGCATGAACATTTAAAAAATTTTTTTATTTTTTTAAATTTTGGCAACATTTTAATTAGAAAATATAAATAACAAATTGCCGAAAATGTTTGAAATAACTTAATTCATTACTGTGAAATTTATTATATGGCATTCCTAAAGGAAGAATTCGTTTACTACATCAAGATAACATTAATGATACTGATAACATTAACATGACATGCTCCTTTTTCTATTTGTGTATCGATTATGCAAGCTCCGTGCATGTGTCACGCGCACTTCGTACCAGTCGCAGTTGCGTTTCACCCGTGCCAGTACGATCAGCTGTTCCGCAGCCAAACATACGAGTTTATAGTGACATGTCGGTCCGAAAGGACAATTATACCGTTGACATAGGAGGTAAGAATCAATGATCATCGCAATTGTCAGTTCTGCATCGTGCTTCTAATCTTGTATTATGGCAAGTAGATATATAATTCTTTTATTAATTCAAAATTTAAAAAATTTCAAATATTATTACAATGATATGCATGTAAAATATTTAATTTTTTAAATTATACTCGCGATTCTGTGGAAAGTATACATAAATATTTATACATTAATACATACAGTTTGACTTTTGTTAGTTTTTTTCACTGAGATTTATATCAGTATATGGAATCACATTTCCCAAGCAAGATAACGTTATTAAGATGTCATTTAACATCACTCTGCTACCTGGGTTGTATCAATCATATTATTGTAAAATACTCTGTAAAATATAATTAACGATAATTATATAAATAATAATAATATAAAATTACTAATTAAAACACAAAAATTGACAAAATATTTCAATGACTTCAACTTCTTCAAAATTTTCGAATATTTTTTTCTTTTGCTCCAAAATTTTTGGAACCTTGAATATGTAATGTTCAAATTTTGCACACTTCTTTCCAAAGATATGCGAATAAAATACAAAGATAAAAGTGAGACCTTCACGGAGGATAATTTAATTAGTAAAGAACCCATCGGGCAATTTAAAGCATGGTTCGAGGAAGTATGCAATACTCCACAGATTTTGGAACCCAACGCGATGTTTCTCGCGACAGCGACAAGGTAATATTGAAAAAAAAATTATTCCTGATTCTAGAAAACATATAATATTATAGTAAAACGTGAAACATAAATATGCATCATACATGCGAAAATCAAGACTTATCTATAGATACAATTTATAGATACGATATTTTACGGTCTATTATCAAATCATCCGCAAGCTAATAGGCTGCAAAAATTGCGCAAATATTTAGTAACACAATCATATTTGAAAACACAAATATGACGTGATTCATTATCGTTTCAGGGATGGTGTGCCATCGTTGCGCGCGGTGTTACTGAAAGGCTTTGGCACGGAAGGCTTCAAGTTTTACACAAATTATGACAGTAGAAAAGGCCATGAACTAGTAAGTATGGACATTTACATTTGACATGAACATGAAACAAACGGAAATTGTATTACTCGACTCATTTTCAGGCTGAAAATCCACATGTCGCGCTAACATTTTACTGGGAAGCTCTTAGACGAAGTGTAAGATATTCATTGACATTCATGTTTTATAAATAGAATTATTACAATATTACATATTGTAATGTTTTACTATTAATACATATTGTAATGTTTTACTATTACTTAGGTACGTATCGAAGGTATCGCGAAGAAAACGTCAGCGGAGGATTCGGATCGTTATTTTCAGAGCCGACCGTATGCGAATCAAATTGGATCTATGTCCAGCAAACAAAGTAGCGTGATTGCTAGCAGGCAAACTCTCATTGTAAAAGAAAGAGAACTGCTCGCGAAATTCCCAGAAGGTCAAGTTAAAAGGCCCGATTGCTGGTAAATAACATAATAAAAATTATGATTAATATATTATTATTAAACCCTTATTAAGAAAATTGATTATTTATTTTGAATATAATTAAAGATTGAATATAATTAAGAAATATGCTTAAAAATTAAAAAAACTAATGGTCATATGCGATGACACATTGCCATTTGCTATCGCTTTTGTGCAATGCTAATACAATTTATTATTCTTGTTAAAATTAATCAATTATCAATTAATAATGATGCAAGTTTGTATTTTATACTTTCCAAATTTAGATTATCCTCACTCATCATTTCATAAAAATTACTTATGGGTTTTTATCGTTTTTTTTTAATTACATAATTTATTTCAGGGGCGGTTATCTCGTTGTACCGCATGTCGTAGAGTTTTGGCAAGGTCAGAGTGATCGTCTTCACGACAGAATTCGCTTTAGACGTACAAAACCGAATGAGAAAATAGACAATATACTTGTGCATAAAGGAGAAAACGGATGGGTTTATGAAAGACTTTCACCTTAGAAAAAAATCGCTGTATTTTTATTGAGGAAAAACGCGAGAAAAAATAACTTTCATATGTTTAGAAACGCTCAATTATTCTTTACTGCGAGAAAATCGCTAGTATTAATTACGCTAGTATTAATTAGTGCAACGTTCCGAGCCATTACCTCATACTTCCAAAGATAAACATTACCAAGACAATAATGTTATATTCCAAGCAGACCATGTTCTTGATGCTGTTTTCTCGTGAGTTTCAGGATTTCCCTGTTCACTCCTGAAATGTATACAATTAATATATTGTTGCATTAACAAAATAATATATTTATGATTATTATTAATCACCATCTTGGCTTCTCCACACCATTTTCACGTCAAAGTATCCATCTTTCAATACGAGATCCTCAAACTGCCTCATCCCACCACCCACTCCGAAATAATAGATTTTTCCAGCGATAAATCTAGCAGCATAATTGTCTGTTTTGAGAAATTGTACAAAAATAATGAGAAATCCTTATAATATACTTACCCAAGGCCATTAATTTTCAATTTTCTCTTAAAAATCTCATATAACTTTTTGTGATTGTCTGGATTGTAAATTGTTTCGCTCGTAAAAATATAATCATATTTCCTATTTTCCTCATCATCTAATAATGTTGCAAGGGAAGCCCAGTCTCCAGCATAAAATTCACATTTTGTAAATATATTTGTACGATTATCACAATTCAACAGTACATTTGGTATAGTCATAGATTTTAGTACTTCTGCATTCTACAAAATTATTTTGTCAACTATAGTCTATCTTTCAATATAATATTCATAAATTATACAAACATAATCTTGAAAATGGACTGTAGAATTTTTGAGAAGAGCAATGAGGCCAATCAAGCCTGCACCACATCCTAAATCCATAACAAGTTTATCTTTTAGTTCAATTTGCTCTTCCAATATATACTGGCCCAAATCAAATGTGCATTCCCAGATTTTTAATCCACCTGCATAATCAAATTGTAATGTATATATTAATAAAATATTACACAAAAATTCCCCAAATTAAATTAAATTCTTTAGTTTTAACGAGAGAAAGTATATTTTAAATTTAAAATTTATAAAAATCACCTTCATATTTTGCTGGAATAAGATCGGAATGTTGTGTCTCAGCCTCAATAATATTTTGACAGTTATGCTTGGTTAAATCCTTTACTACTTTATCAGAGCGAATTAATTTTAGATTAAAATCAGGGAACACTTTTGTCTCTGTATAATAATCTGTTCCATATTTCACTCCGACTTGCTCGGGTGTTATTTCGAGTTTGAAGGCAGGAATCCATTCTAATTCATCCGTCTTATCCTCTAAAATTATTCAAACTGAATATTTTTATAGATGAGTGCTTTGCAAAAATTTACATCAGTTGAAATTTTGCTGGAAAACAAATCAATGACAGTCTAACCCCAAGTTACGAATGAAAAAATGCGTCCCTTGAATTATTACAGAAATATAATTAGCAATACCTTCATTAATGTCAGTTATAGTTTTTGCAAATCCGAATTTAAACATTTTTCACGAAGTTTCAGATGTGAAATAAAAAAATTATAAGTTTAATAAACTAAAGCATTATTTTGGGTAAAATGAGGATGATCTTATAGGTTATAGACCGTTTTTAAATGATCTCTGACAGAGAGAAAACTGAGAGATGTCATGGCCTGCTTTTAGGTGATCCCTGAAAGCGATATTCCCTCTATGGACATTGAAAACGTGGACATGAACTACAAAGCCAATGTCCATGAATGTTCTCAGAGGGTATCATGTGCACAATTTCTGGTTTCGTTCCGTGCTATGTGCACGAAATGCCGGTAACACCAGAGTATAACAAGACACTCATGTATATAAATTGATAGTAAATAAATTATGCAATCGTGAAAGATACTGTAATCTTCCAATGTAATGTTCAAAGATGAAATAAATATTTTTCTATATTCATTGCCATGTTTATATATTTTTATTTACAAAACACAAAATGTCTGCTGTGGAATAAAAACATTTTTAACCGTTATTTCTATAAATCTTAATTAGTAATAAACTGATCTTTGACAGAAGTTTAACTAAGGTTTAATTAATCTATCCTCCTTGTACAATGGAAAAACGAATAGTATATAAAACTAAGTTTAAGGATCAAGAAACGTTTTATTAAACTTTAATAAAACTATGTTTAAGGATCAAGGATCGTTTTATTAAACTTTAGTTTAAGCTGTTATTGAAAAACCGGCCCTTATAGATGCAAATAATTAGCATAACAAAAGACTCCGTGAATTGATTGATAAATAATTAATTTTAATCAATAAATTAAATACTTTCATAATTTAATATTCCACGTTACTGTATATTTTATAATATATAAAATATTTCGGTAACGAATTATCGATAACACGATGTTCGACTTTGGCAATATAAAATATAAACAGTAGCGCGCTATACGTTACCGCTTTGTCATCATTCGTACGGTGACTCTAATAAAGTAGTGGTAAGAAACGCTTCGTATATTGTAATTTTTTTGCTAAACACGATTACGATTGGTATTAAAACATAATTTACTATAAATTTTAATAAAAATTAATTAATTAAAAATTAATTAGCGACATAAAACGATATCTTTATCGTAATTATTCATTACTGCGAACAAAAATTGAAACATGGAATACGTAAAAAAGGATAAGAGAATTAATTATATTATAATATCGATCATTGATGCTTATTATAATATTTCTTTAACAATATTAGAATTAACTACATTTTGATCAATGCTTTAAATATTTTTTTTATTAATTAAATCTTTGTTAATTAAACAATAGTTATGTATGACAACATGTAATTATTTTAATATTTTATTCTTACGATACATTAATACGTTAGATATATGAGATACATTAATATGTTAAAATATTTCAACAATGAACAACATCATAATATCCAACATAAACAGTATCACCCTAGTGATTTTGTTTTACCGTCTTGTTATGTAAATTTAAGTTTATATATTATATTACAAAATAAATTCCAAATTATATACATTATATTATATATTATATATTATATAATATATTATATATTATATTATATTATATATAAAAAAAATTATATATAATATAACTCTCCCATGGGGTACACCTTGTCGCGGTGGGAGGGCTTAGTACCTGGATGGTGCCTTGAGGTTTATCTTAAATTTTCCAATTTATGATAAATCTTAAGGTGCCTGAATGGGAAGCCAAGTATCCTTTCGCGTCGTCGGTGCCGTCAACGTGCCGCGGACGGCAAGCGCTTCGTCAACGCATCGCGTTAGGTATATGTATACATATTAGAGAGTGCCGTTAAAGGTATATACATATTAAGTATATACATCGCGTGATTAAATATAAAATTTTTAATCGAAATAGTGCGGGAGTGCCGTTCAGTATCGCGCGTAAAATAACAAAAATAGCGATATAAAAATATCGCTCGCGAGTGCGGGAGTGTCGTCAAAGTATCGCGCGCCAACAACATAAGAAGAGGAAAAGGCCTTGTAGAGCCTTATAGAGGCATCTTGCATCGGCGAAGCAACCTGATGGTGAATATTTATTTTATTTGTATATCAATTGTTATAAATCGTACGCATAATAATTCGTTCTTATAATTTAAAGGAATTAAAGAGGAAATTAGAGAGAAAAATTTTTATAAATATGAAAATTTCTATTTAAAAAATAATTTTAAAATTTATAAAATCTTCCCATATGTGTTTATATCTGCTTATTATTTTACACACCGGATATGAAATTCCACAGTCTTGTTATAAATGAATTTTATATTTGTATGTTTCAGACGTAGTTTTAACGAAAACATAATAACGGATAACGATAACTCCGCTGCTGCACATCAATGCCATGGTGAGCGATAAAAATTTTTATTTAATTTTAAGGTAACGGTAGAGATTGTAGATATATCTGTTGCCTTAAAATGGATGAGTTAGGATAGATTAAATAACTTTTAATAAATTCGTTTGAAATGTATTGCAGCCATCGCGAAAATATTACAGTATATTAATCATAAAGAAAGAAGATCGAGAAAAGATCATTCTTGTAATTTTATCTAATTTATTGAAAAGAACATTAAAAATTGTATCAATTACATCTGATGCTAATTTATTCTTATAACACGTATTTATCTTATCACTTATCTTGTTCACTTATCTTATTCTAATTTCTTATAGCTCGTCCATTATAGAATTTATTGTAGATATTGTTTTTAAACTTAATGTAAAGCCAAATGATTTATTATTATAATGAAATAACTTGTAATATGATAAGTGTTATACACATATTAATTTTTTATAAATTTATTATTAACTCGCGCATCTGCAATCGAATATTCCGATTATTGTCAATTTATTTATTCGTCGCGTTTTCTCGCGAATTTTAAATCGCAATTTATTTAGTAACTTAATTGTTGATTTCGAAGTTTATTCTATTCATTTTGAAAATTTCCTTTGATTAATTTACACAAAATGCGTCAGTAATCCAAATACTTTCTTTTACAGTCGAACAAACGAACAATAATTTTATTAATGATTCTTTTTCTTCTTTCACGATTATTTACATTATATAAAACTTATTAAATTCTATTGTTATCTATTATTAATAATAAATGTCACGTAATTATAGATAACGCGGCGTTCGACTTTGGCAATATAAAATATAAACAGTAGCGCCCATTATTTATTAAACAATTTATCACGGACCTTTTCGTTATGTTAATTATTTGCATCTATATTTCGATTGTTTTATTTCGTGTTCTCTCACAATCCAAATTATATTTAGATTGTCAAGAATAATAAAGTGGTACGGATGAAATATATTTAAAAATATTTGTGACTCTAAGTATTAAAATAATAATTCTTGTCCGTGAAGATCGCAATCATCAAAGTGATTATTTAATAATATCTTGAATTTCTATCATTCAATCGATTCTCGATTAAATTATAGGATTATAGGATTACGATATAATAATTATTTTAATACTTATAGTCACAAATATATTTCATACGTGTCAACTTTATCGTTCTTGACAATCTAAATATAATTTGGATAGTGAGAAAACACGAAGTAAAACAATCGAATTATACATGCAAATAACGAAACATAAACGAAAAGATACGTGATAAATTGTTTAATAAATAATGAATTTTAATTAAGAAATTAAAATAATTCCAAAATTTAATATTTCGCGTTAATGTATATTTTATAATATATAAAATATAAAAATATTTCGACAACAAATTATCGATAACGCGGCGTTCGACTTTGGCAATATAAAATATAAACAGCAGCGCTCTATACGTTACCGTTTTGTCATCATTCGCACGGTGACTCTGGAGTAATAAAGTAGTGGTGAGAAACGTTTCATATACTTTAATTTTATTATTAAACACGATTACGATTAGTACTGGAACATAATTTGCTATAAATATTAACTAAATTAATTAATTAAAAATTAATTAACGACATGAAACTGTATCGCAACAATAAATCTTTATCGAATCGTAATCATTCATTATTGCGATTAAGAATTGAAACAGAGAATACATAAAACAGGATAAAAGAATTAATTATGTTATGATATTCATCACTGATGCTTATAATATTTCTTTAACAATATTAGAATTAACTATATTTCGACCAATGCTTTAAATTTTCTTAATCCTTATTAACTAAACAATATACAATTTAATCGAGAATCAATTAAATGATAGGAATCCAAGATATTAAATGATCACTTCCATAATTGCGATCTTTACGGACAATAACTATTATTTTAATACTTAGAGTCACAAATATATTTCATCCGTGTCACTTTATCGTTCTTGACAATCTAAATATAATTTGGATTGTTGAGAGAACACGAAGTGAATTATAGATGCAAATAATTAGCATAACGAAAAGCTCCGTGATAAATTGTTTAATCAATAACGAATTTTAATGAATAAATTAAAATATTTGTATAATTTAATATTCCACGTTAATGTATATTTTATAATATATAAAATATTTCAGCAGCGAGTTATCGAAAACACGGCGTTCAACTTTAGCAATATAAATTATAAACAGTAGCGCTCTATACGTTACCGCTTTGTCATCATTCGCACGGTGACTCTGGAGTAATAAAGTAGTGATGAGAAACGTTTCGCATACTTTAATTTTTTTACTAAACACGATTACGATTAGTATCGGAACATAATTTGCTATAAATATTAACAAAATTAATTAAATAAAAATTAATTAACGACATGAAACTGTATCGCAACGATAAATCTTTATCGAATCGTAATCATTCATTATTGTGATTAAGAATTGAAACAGAAAATACATAAAACAGGATAAAAGAATTAATTATGTTATGATATCCATCACTGATGCTTATAATATTTCTTTAACAATACTAGAATTAACTATATTTCGACTAATGCTTTAAATTTTCTCAATCCTTATTAATTAAACATTATACAATTTAATCGAGAATCGAATAAATGATAGGATTCCAAGATATTAAATAATCACTTCGATAATTGCGATTTTTACAGACAATAATTATTATTTTAATACTTAGAGTCACAAATATATTTCATCCGTGTCACTTTATCGTTCTT